AAAAAGTATTTGATCCCCTGCTGATTTTTTACGTGTCACGTTCGTTGTGTAAAGGATCGGACCAAGGTGCAGCGTGGTATACGTACATAGTAGTTTATTTAATAAACACCGACAAAATAACAAAATCCAACAGAACGTGAAGTTCAAGAGGCTAAACATCAAACAGAAACAAGATCCCACAACATAGGTAGGCAAAATGGCTGCCTAAGTATGATCCCAATCAGAGACAACGATCAACAGCTGCCTCTGATTGGGAACCACACCCGGCCAACATAGAAATACACAATCGCAACCTCCCCGTTGCACACCCGGTCCGGTCTAGACCCCGGCGCAACGCTTCCCCTCTCAGTCCTCCCACGATGCACCAAGCCCTGTCTGGACCCTGGTGTGGGAGACCCCAACCCTGGAGAGGGGTTGACGTCTGGCTCCGGCTCAACCCTAGTGGAGCAGATGACTCCGGCATGGGGGAAGAGCAGATAACCGGAGCTGGACTAGACACCGGTGGAGCGGACTGCTCCAGCACAGGAGTGGAGCCACTGACCGGAGCTGGACTAGGCACCGGTGGAGCGGACTGCTCTGGCACTGGAGTGGAGCAGCTGACCGGAGCTGAACTTGGCACCGGTGGAGTGGACTGCTCTGGCACTGGAGTGGAGCAGCTGACCGGAGCTGGACTAGGCACCGGTGGAGCGGACTGCTCTGGCACTGGAGTGGAGCAGAGGACCCTCGCTGGAGGTCAGGTGCGTGGCGCTGGAACGGGCCGTACCGGACTGCGGACACGCACAACGGGTTTGGTGCGAGGAGCAGGAACGGGCCATACCGGACTGGATACACGCATCACTGGTTTGGTGCGAGGAGCAGGAACGGGCCGTACCGGACTCGAGACACGCACCACTGCTTTGGTGCGAGGAGCAGGAACGGGCCTTACCAGGCTGGAGACACGCACCACTGGTCTGGTGCGAGGAGCAGGCATGGGCCGCACCGGACTGGAGACACGCACCACTGGTTTGGTGAGAGGAGCAGGCACGGAGCGCACCGGGCTGGAGACACGCACCACTGGTTTGGTGCGAGGAGCAGGCACGGGCCGTACCGGTCTGTGAAGGCGCACTGGCGGCACAGTGCGTAAAGCCGGCACATAGCCTGGTGCCTGCACGGTCACACACTCCTCAAAGCGAGTGTGGGGATTTGGCTCTGCTAAACCTGGCTCCGCCAGCCTCTGCTCTATGGCCCGAACTCTCTGCTGCTGGAGGGTTAACTCCTCTCTCAGCTCCTCCTGTTGCCTGGCCAGCTCCTCTCTCCGTGCATCCACTGACTCCTTCTCCCTGTGGGCCTCCTGCAGCACCTCCCTCTGAAGGAGAGCTCCTGCTCCCTCTTCGCTATCAGCCCCCGTAAGGCGGTGGTCTCCTCTCTCAGAGTGCTGAGCTGCAGGTCTTGGAGGGCATCTATCATAGCGACTTCTTCTATCGCTATCTCCCTCTCCACAATCAGCCCTTCCAGGGCCTCCTGATGCGTCGCCAACCACCCCGTGTGCCCCCCCAAATTTTTTTCTTGGGGCTGTCTCTTGGGCTTCCTTCATCGTCGCCGTTTATCCTTTCCTGCCTGGGCTTCTTCCTTCGCCCAGGGTCCCTTACCGGCCAATATCTCCTCCCATGTCCAGAATGTCTTCCCCACCTGTGTCCAGCATGTTTGCTCCGCCTGGCCACGCTGCTTGGTCTGTTGGTGGTGGGATCTTCTGTCACGTTCGTTGTGTAAAGGATCGGACCAAGGTGCAGCGTGGTATGCGTACGTAGTCGTTTATTTAATAAACACAGACAAAATACCAAAATCCAACAGAACGTGAAGTTCAAGAGGCTAAACATCAAACAGAAACAAGATCCCACAACATAGGTAGGCAAAATGGCTGCCTAAGTATGATCCCCAATCAGAGACAACGATCAACAGCTGCCTCTGATTGGGAACCACACCCGGCCAACATAGAAATACACAATCTAAAATTCACACCCTGACCAACCCAACTAGAGAAAACAGGGCTCTCAAGGTCAGGGCGTGACAGTACGTTTGCCCACTGACAAAGAAATTATCAGTCTATAATTTTAATGGTAAGTTTATTTGAACAGTGAGAGACAGAATAACAACAACAAAAATCCAGAAAAACGCATGTCAAAAATGTTATAAATTGATTTGCATTTTAATGAGGGAAATAAGTATTTGACCTCCTCTCAATCAGAAAGATTTCTGGCTCCCAGGTGTCTTTTATACAGGTAACGAGCTGAGATTAGGAGCACACTCTTAAAGGGAGTGCTCCTAATCTCAGCTTGTTACCTGTATAAAAGACACCTGTCCACAGAAGCAATCAATCAATCAGATTCCAAACTCTCCACCATGGCCAAGACCAAAGAGCTCTCAAGGCTGGAATGGACTAGAAGACCATCGCCAAGCAGCTTGGTGAGAAGGTGACAACAGTTGGTGCGATTATTCGCAAATGGAAGAAACACAAAATAACTGTTAATCTCCCTCGGCCTGGGGCACCATGCAAGATCTCACCTCGTGGAGTTGCAATGAACATGAGAACGGTGAGGAATCAGCCCAGAACTACACGGGAGGATCTTGTCAATGATCTCAAGGCAGCTGGGACCATAGTCACCAAGAAAACAATTGGTAACACACTACGCCGTGAAGGACTGAAATCCTGCAGCGCCCGCAAGGTCCCCCTGCTCAAGAAAGAACATATACAGGCCCGTCTGAAGTTTGCAAATGAACATCTGAATGATTCAGAGGAGAACTGGGTGAAAGTGTTGTGGTCAGATGAGACCAAAATTGAGCTCTTTGGCATCAACTCAACTCACCGTGGAGGAGGAGGAATGCTGCCTATGACCCCAAGAACACCATCCCCACCGTCAAACATGGAGGTGGAAACATTATGCTTTGGGGGTGTTTTTCTGCTAAGGGGACAGGACAACTTCACTGCATCAAAGGGACGATTGTGGGGGCCATATACCGTCAAATATTGGGTGAGAACCTCCTTCCCTCAGCCAGGGCATTGAAAATGGGTCGTGGATAGGTATTCCAGCATGACAATGACCCAAAACACATGGCCAAGGCAACAAAGGAGTGGCTCAAGAAGGAGCACATTAAGGTCCTGGAGTGGCCTAGCCAGTCTCCAGACCTTAATCCCATAGAAAATCTGTGGAGGGAGCTGAAGGTTCGAGTTACCAAACGTCAGCCTCGAAACCTTAATGACTTGGAGAAGATCTGCAAAGAGGAGTGGAACAAAATCCCTCCTGAGATGTGTGCAAACCTGGTGGCCAACTACAAGAAACGTCTGACCTCTGTGATTGCCAACAAAGGTTTTGCCACCAAGTACTAAGTCATGTTTTGCAGAGGTGTCAAATACTTATTTCCCTCATTAAAATGCAAATCAATATATAACATTTTTGACATGCGTTTTTCTGGATTTTTTTGTTGTTATTCTGTCTCTCACTGTTCAAATAAACCTACCATTAAAATTATAGACTGATCATTTCTTTGTCAGTGGGCAAACGTACAAAATCAGCAGGGGATCAAATACTTTTTTCCCCTCACTGTATGTAGAGTACAACGCAGCATGTTTCTCCGTTTTCTATTTGTGCTATGTGCACTTGTGGTAGCGAGCCCAAAATAGAAACCGGAATCACAGACAGATGCTCAAGCTCAAGCACACATACCCCTCTGCTCACCTAGCTCTTTGCAACACTCTCTCTGTTTCCGTTCACCACTGTAGATACATTATCTGTCTCATCCTCTGAAACTCTCTTACTCTGTCACATATTTCCAGTGTTGTAATCTTATCACATTTTCAAAAACCTCCTCATATCAAAAACACATACTTTATTTAAGAGGAAATATATGAGGCCTGTCAAAAATAAAAATGGTGAAAACAAAGTAGATCCTAAACATATTTGTTCTTTCTTTTCCCAACCCCTCCTCTGCAGGTTTTCCTGAGCACCCTCTGTCTGTGTGAGTGTGTCTGAGTGTGTGTGTGTGTTTCTGAGTGTGTGTGTTATGGCCTCTGTGACGGACGAGCCATACCGTAAGATGCTATTGCTAGGAGCCATCGCCGCGGCGTCAGCCTTCGTGGTCACCATCTTCGTCGTTGTGGTCTGTGTCGGCTGTCAGAGGTGAGAGGTCACAGCCGACACATTTGACATACCTGACATATTTCTCTCTCTCTCTCTCTCTCTCACTTTCTCCCAATAGCTTTTTCTCTCTCTCTCTTATCCTTCTCTCTACCTCTTCCTAATCTCCCCTTTTGTTTATGTCTCCCTCCCTCCTTTCTCATTTCTTCCCTTGCCCCATTTTATTTCCCTCTCTCTTTTCCTTAATTTCCCCCCTGCCCCATCTCACGCTCTGTCTGTCCCTCCTCCCTCCTTTTCCTCCTTCTCACCCATCCCACCCTCTGCCCCCGTCCTGAGAAGAGAGTGTGTGATGAATGTTAATGGCGTGTATTGTCAGATCAGATTAAATGTTCTTCCTAGGACGGTAGAGAGGGTAGGGCACATCCACAGTCTAGGGAACAGGGCTCCCTCTCAATAGACTATAGCAATGGAACACGCTGTGGGTTACAGATCAGGATTCTCACTAGACAAAAGCTATGGAACACAGTACGCTGTGGTTCTTACAGAACCCTCAGGGGACTAATCAGAGTCAACCCTCAGTGGCTTTGTTGCCAGGGGATTTGCACTGTGACCAGACATAGAGATGTACTGTAGCTCAATGTAAAGCTTAATGTTAAGGAATCTGTAAATGTAACAACAACAAAAAATACATTGATGTTGCGACAAACTGTATGGAAAAAAGGCTCCTCTTTACTCTTTTAAGTTTGGTAAACCATTACTTTGTCTTGTGCCGAATTCCTGCCTCCAATGTGTTGTTATGGTGTGACAGTCCTGTGGGATGTGGATGCTTAGACACCTTCCCATGGCTCCCAGGGGTTGACAGAGCTGAGAGGTGTCTAGAGAGGGGTGATGTGTCGTGGGCTGAAGAGAGAGACCCCTGAGTCCCTGGGGCATCTCAATGGTACTAAGTGGACTCTGTACGTGTGTACTGTAGGTGCACATGTGCATCTCCTCTCCTTCATCTTCACTGAACTGAAATCAACAGTCCCCCATGGTTACACAACGTTCCCAAAGCACCCATAGTGACGTGTGGAAATGTGATCAACCATGGAGGAATGTTTACTTCTCAGCTCTGAGTGAAACTCAGCAGAGACAGGGTTAATAATAACATAGTAGTAATCACTGTTACTTCATGTGTCCGAAGGAAAAACAAGACCAAGCATCCTCCGGCCAATGGAGAGAAGGGCACCTCAGTAGACATGGTGAGTTATTTTCATTTCCCCTTCTCTTTTCCTTACCCCTCCTAGGTACTCATTTCATTGTATGTTTTATGTTGTGTATTTCAGACCTAGCATCCATTGCGCCCCATCCACAATCCCTTCACCGTTATTTGTTATCGACCCTCGCAATAAATTGCTTTCCTACTTCCTGTCACATGACTTTGAGTGCTCACTCCACCACCCAGCATAAAAGTTAAAATATCTTTCACCCACATTTTTTGCAGAAGGTGGGAACCAAACAACAGGCATATCAAACACATCTAGAACCACCCGTCTCTATGTACCTCTGTTATCTCTCTCTCTCTCTCTCTCTCTCTCTCTCTCTCTCTCTCTCTCTCTCTCTCTCTCTCTCTCTCTCTCTCTCTCTCTCTCTCTCTGTGCAGGGTGCTCTCCGTCAGCCCAAGAACAGCTCCATGAGTAAATCTGACACCAGGCTGCATGAGATCAACCGCCTGCCCTGCAACGGCAACAGTGAGTAACAATACTAACAACCAGCGGCCAATAATATGAAAACTAGCGGTACATAGCGGAGATGGAAACTATGTAACAATGACCCGATAGTAAAGGTCCCCCTCCTTCTCACTCGCTCTAGGTGGGGGTAAGAACCGTCCAGCCAGTATGGATCTTCTCCTCCTCCACAGCCGTCGCTCCACATCTGACCTCCGGCCCCCCCTGGTCCGCCTACTCCCCCAGATCCCCACCAGCCCAGTGGGGGAAGGAGACCCCGAGGGGGGAGACATTCGGGGGGGAGGAGGAGACGGGGTCAGAAACCACACCTACACTGAGGTGGGAATCCGGAACTCACCCGTCCGTTGCCTTGATGATGGGCTGTATGAGGTTGTAGGGGTTCGAGAGGCGGATACGGTGCTTCCCGCTCCCCCTCCCACGTCGGCCAACACCCCGGCAACACTGAGGGCCTCACAGAGCCCCAATGGGACCCACACCAATGTGGTACACAACGGGAACGGGAATGGAAATGGGAATGTGCGTATTTATGCTATGAAAACTACACAATAGAAGTGTTGACATAAAGTCATCATCGGAGACACTTGACATTGTGAATGCCTGCCTGTAAAAATGACTGTCAGTTTTGCTATTTAGCTTTTCTTTGGTTGGTCCAGTGGAATGACCAGGACCTTTCACCTCTGTGTGTTTGTGTGTGTATCTGTATGTATCTGACAGGGGAAGGGCAGAGGAGCTGTTAATGGCAGTAGCACTCTTGGTAGAGGAGGAGGGAAGGGGCCCAACGGTGCTAACGGTGTTAACGGATCTAGCGGCTCGCTCCTGTCCTCCCTTCCCTCCCTGGCCATCCAGGACCCAGTAATGGCAGAATACGCCTCCATCCGGAAGGTCAAGAAGGTAAACAGTGTTTTTACAACTGCTTTCCAATGGAGCTCTGGAACAACATTATATGAATTTGATATGAATTTGTACTCATTTCTAATTAAATAAAATGTATTAAGGTGAACAAGGCAATGAAGAACGAGATAGGGAACACAGAGTCAGATGACCAATCAAGTGTCCAATCAAGTGTGGGAGAGTCACCCTCTGCCCCACCCGCTCTGCTGTCCTGCAGCCAGGAGTTTCCACGGAAACAGCTGGAGCCATTCCACCTGCACGTCTTCCCGAAGGTACATCCCCTGTAGGGCACTTATGGACAGAGATTCAGTATATATGGTGTAATTCTTCACCAGCTTGTGCAGATGCTGAATGGCAGCGATATTACCTGTCAATTCCACCATTTAACCACCAGAGGGAACTATGTCCTACAGATTGTTCTTCTTTCTTCTCTGTACCCAGTGTTTAAGCTCAGAGGGAGAGTATAATGTTTACTGTTAATTTTTGATTGTTTATTTCACTTTTGTTTGTTATTTATTTCACTTCCTTTGGCAATGTAAACATACAGTATGTTTTCCATGCCAATAAAACCCTAACGCTCCAGGTTGAAGTTGCCCCTAACCACAAGTTTAGGATCAGATCACCCTAACCCCAATCCTAATCTTAACCATTGGGAGGAAAAATGTGAAACTGGCCTTAGATCAGCGTGTAAGGAGCAGTTCCGGCCTGATTTTAATCACTATTTCCAGCCACATGGGCACAGCCTCTAATGGCCTTATCTCTCAACATTACTAAAAGTCAGATCTTCACAGATTATGTCTAAAGGGAAAGAAGCTAAATTGATAAAGGGATGACAAACTCTTCATCTTTCATTCTTTAGTTGTTAGACTATGTCCCACAAACATGATTCAATCTCATTGTTAAGTGTGCCCCGGGCCTGATATCATTCTCTACCCAGATAAGCCTGTTGGAAATAGTGTTTATAAACAGTCAAGGCCAATTTGGGGGCTGCACTGAAGGAGGGAAATGGAGGGACAATGATTGGTTAAAGATCAAACTTTCTTGGCAGTCCTACCTGTTTTTTCTTACTGTGTGTGTGTGTGTATGTGTGTGCATGCGTGAGTGTGTGTGTGTGTGTGTGTGTTCATGCATGCATGCGTGAATGTGTGAATGAACAGGGTGAATGTAATTTGCTCCGTCACAGGTTTGGAGAGATTGACAGAACTGTGAACACCATGTTATTTTAGCAGTGGGTCTGTGTTGTTGTAATATGCTCTACTTATTGTCCCCCACGACGAAATTAGGGAGGGGAGTGTGGATCTGTCTCCATCCATCCGTCAGTTCGTACGTTAGTCACACACCATATCTCAGACAGCACTGGACGGATTTTGACGAAACTTGGGTGAATGATGTGTCTTGCCATAGAGAGCCGGTATTTACAAAATTACACTTGTTGGCCCAAGGTGGCGGGGGCTATGGTAATTAACTGAAATGTGTTAGTCACACGTGATATCTCAATTGGCCCAAGGTGGCGGGGGCACCGCATCATTCGTGGGGGACGACATGTTTACTGTTGCCTTGTTTTCTACTGTATTTATGTGTTAGTATGTACACTGTATATCAATAGAATGTTTAATAAGAAGTGTGTGTGGAATGTGAGCATGTGTACAGTATCTGTGTGAATGAATCAAAATCTAATTTTATTTGTCACATGCATCCAATACAATGGGTGTAGACTTTACTGTGAAATGCTTGCTTACGAGCCCTTCCCAATGATGCAGAGTAAAACAATTATAATAAGAATAAACATTTTAACATAAGAGGAATAAAATACACAAGAATGGAGCTAAATACAGGGAGTACCAGTACCAGGTCAATGTGCAGAGGTACTTGAGGTAGATATGTACATGAAGGCAGGGTAAAGTGACTAGGCATCAGGATAGATAACAATAAGAATCAAATGAAGAACAGTGTAGCACAAGCAAATGATGAGTGTAAAAGTGTGTTGTAGTGGACAGTGCATTCGGAAAGTATTCAGACCGCTTCCCTTTTCCACATTTTGTTATGTTACAGTCTTGTTCTAAAATGTATTAAATAAAAAAATGTCCTCATTCATCTACACACACTACCCCATAATGACAAAGATAAAACAGGTTTTTAGAAATGTGTGCAAATGTGTAAAAAAAAACAAAAAACATAAATACTTTATTTACATAAGTATTCAGACCCTTTGCTATGAGACTCGAAATTGAGCTCAGGTGCATCCTGTTTCCATTGATCATCCTTGAGATGTTTCTACAACTTGACTGGAGTCCACCTGTGGTAAATTCAATTGATTGGACATTTAATTTTTTTATTTAACTAGGCAAGCCAGTTAAGAACAAATTCTTATGTACAATGACAGCCTACACCGGCCAAACCCAGACGACGCTGGGCCAATTGGGCGCTGCCCTATGGGACTCCCAATTACGGCCGGTTGTGATACAGCCTGGAATCGAACCAGGGGTCTGTAGTGACGCCTCAAGCACTGAGATGCAGTGCCTTAGACCGCTGCGCCACTCGGGAGCCCACTTGGGAGGACATGATTTGGAAAGGTGACCAGGAACCCAATGGTCACTCTGACAGAGCTCCAGAGTTCCTCTGTGGAGATGGGAGAACCTTCCAGAAGGACAACCATCTCTGCAGCACTCCACCAATTAGGCCTTTATGGTAGAGTGGCCAGACGGAAGCCATTCCTCAGTAAAAGGCACATGACAGCCAGTTTGCCAAAAGGCACCTAAAGGACTCTCAGACCATGAGAAACAAGATTCTCTGGTCAGATGAAACCAAGATTGAACTCTTTGGCCTGAATGCCAAGCGTCACTTCTGGAGGAAACCTGGCATCATCCCTACGGTGAAGCATGGTGTGTCAGCATCATGCTGTGGTGATGTTTTTCAGCTGCAGGGACTGGGAGACTAGTCAGGATCAAGGGAAAGAGGAATGGAGCAAAGTACAGAGATCCTTGATGAAAACCTGCTCCAGAGCGCTCAGGACCTCAGACTGGGGCAAAGGTTCACCTTCCAACAGGACAACGACCCTAAGCACACAGCCAAGACAATGCAGGAGTGGCTTCGGGACAAGTCTCTGAATGTCCTTGAGTGGCCCAGCCAGAGCCCGGACTTGAACCTGATCGAACATCTCTGGAGAGACCTGAAAATAGCTGTGCAGCGATGCTCCCCATCCAACCCGACAAGGCTTGAGAGGATCTGCAGAGAAGAATGGGAGAAACTTCCCAAATACAGGTGTGCCAAGCTTGTAGCATCATACCCAAGAAGACTCAAGGCTGTAATCGCTGCCAAAGGTGCTTCAACTGTAAAGGGTCTGAATACTTATGTAAATTTGATATTTTAGTTAAAATGTTTTATACATTTTTTTGCTTTGTCATTATGGGGTATTGTGTGTAGATTGATGAGGGAAAAAAACTATTTAATTCATTTTAGAATAAGGCTGTAACGTAACAAAATGTGGAAAAAGTCAAGGGGTCTGAATACTTTCCAAATGCACTGTATGTGAATGTGTGTGGGTTTTGTGTTTCAGTGTAGTGTGTGTGAGTTGGTACACTACATTACCTTCCACAAACTGTTGCCACAAAGTTGGAAGCACAGAATCGTCTAGAATGTCATTGTATGCTGTAGCGTTAAGATTTCCCTATTACGAACCATGAAAACAGCCCCAGACCATTATTCCTCCTCCACCAAACTTTACAGTTGGCACTATGCATTCGGGCAGGTAGCGTTCTCCTGGCATCCGCCAAACCCAGATTCATCTGTCGGACTGCCAGATGGTGAAGCGTGATTCATCACTCCAGAGAACGCGTTTCCAATGCTCCAGAGACCAATGGCAGCGAGCTTTAGACCACTCCGGTCGACGCTTGGCGTTGCGCATGGTGATTTTAGGCATATGTGTGGCTGCTAGGCCATGGAAACCCATTTCATGAATCTCCCAACGAACAGTTCTTGTGCTGACGTTGCTTCCAGAGGCAGTTTGGAACTTGGTAGTGAGTGTTGCAACCGAGGACAGACGGTTTTTACGCGCTACACACTTCAGCACATGGCAGTCCCGTTATGTGAGCTCGTGTGGCCTACCACTTCGCGGCTGAGCCGTTGTTGCTCCTAGTCGTTTCCACTTCACAATAACAGCACTTACAGTTGACGGGGCAGCTCTAGCAGGGCAGAAATTTGACGAACTGACTTGTTGGAAAGGTGGCATCCTATGACGGTGCCACATTGAAAGTCACTAAGCTCATCAGTAAGGCCATTCTACTGCCAATGTTTGTCTATGGAGATTGCATGGCTGTGTGCTTGATTTTATACACCTGTCAGCAACGGGTGTGGCTGAAATAGCCAAATCCACTCATTTGAAGGGGTGTCCACATACCTTTGTATATATAGTGTATATAGTGTGTATATAGAATAAAACTATATAAAAAATAAATACAACTGTGTGTACATATTATGTGTCATCTCACTCTCTCTAGTATGTCCTTGAGAGAGAGCTTGTTTTTGTCTATTTAGTGTGTGTGTGTTTTAGAGAAAGCCAGTGAGCGTGCTCTCTTGTTTGTGGTCATGTTTATGCCTGTGTACTATGTGTGGATGTGCTCCATAGCGTGTGTGTGTGTGTGTGTGTGTTTGTGAGTGTGTGTTGTGTGTGTTTGTTTGAGAGTGTGTGTTGTGTGTGTGTGTGTGTGTGTGTGTGTGTGTGTGTGTTTGTGAGCCTGCGACCCAGCCCTTCTCCTGCTTTGTGGAGCACATGTTGTGTGACTGGCCAGCGAAGCAGAGGGGCCGATTATGCAAGAGCCTGCCTGGCTGCCAAGTCGTGTGTATTCTTGTGCATGCAATCGTTTTTAGAATATAAATTAAACCTGCAACTATGAGATTGTATTAACAAGCACAATTGACAAACTTTTCAGGAACTTGAATTGTGTTTACTAATGTTGCTGATTAAAACATTCATGGTGATTCTTTCAGCTAAATAAAGATGTCCCTTTTTTATTACCATCACTTGAGACTGAGAAACCTCTGACTGATCGGCCAAGAGTTAAAAAATATCCACTGTTGAAGAAGAAAATCTGATTTGATGGCAGCATCTGATTGTGGTTATGATTGATGTCTGGACAGCTGTGTGGGCTGTCTTCTGAGACACACACACACACACACACACACACACACACAGACACACACACACAGACACACACACACAGACACACACACACATACAAACACACACACACACACACACACACACACACACACACACACACACACACATACACAGACACACACACACACACACACAGACACACACGCAAACACACGTGGGCAGCATCTTTCATCTGGGGGCCATGGGTATATGAAACACACAATTCATAAATCATCTCAATTTCCTCAAACATTTTGCTCTCTCTCTATCTGACTCTTTTGTTGTGATCAGTTATATTTATATGAAAAATGCCAACCAGAAGGACCAGAGACGGAGTAGTATGGTGGAGGGGAGACTTAAAGTAAACCTGATGGCATAGTCAAGTTGCATAGAGATTGTATGCTGTAAATGGGGAGACATTTGCTAGTACTCTAAATGTCCACTTACAAATGTGTGAACAGAGATGATTTGATGCCAGAACATAATTTAATTAATATGCACAACCCAAACCATTTCAACAACCATGTCATTCCTCTTTACAAACACAGTCCCTCACCGTTCTCCTATAAGACCAGTGGTGGGACGGATGTGTGTAGACAGTCACATGAGATCCACCTGTTTGTGGACTAAAACACACAAACACAAACACTCCTCCCACTCCTTGCAGTTCAGTGTGGACTGTGTTTACCTGTCCGACAAGCGTACCACTTCCTACTCCCACAAGCCTCTGGATAAACATTTACAAGAGAACACACACACACTCAGTGTTTGTTTTACATGGGCGTCCTGTTTCGTCTGTCCATGTATCTGCAGGCCGGACATAAAGCTGAGGTTACCTACCAGAGATAATCTACTGCGTGTGTGTTATTATGCTTGTCTCTGTGTATGCAAAACGTCTGTCTCTTTGAGTTATTTTGCTGGGATTTATACCGGATGTTGTTAATTACAAAGCCTATACTCAACTATAAAGGAGTTGGTCAAAGCCATAACCGATCTGGGCCCTGGGCCCATATTCAAAAAGCGTCTCAAGAGTACGAGTGCTGATCTAGGATCAGGTCCATATAATCATGTTCATTATGATCTACCGTTTAGGCTCTAATAGTGAATATGGGCCTTGGCGACAAGGCTGCCAGCTGAGCCCTCACCTCTGTTCTTTGTGTGTCCACCAGGAGACGGTGTTCATGGGGAATGGGGAACAGTACATCTGGAAGCCCCCTGAGGACAATGACATCATCACCCTGCACCCAGCGCCTGCACCCCCGGGGGAGAATGGACAGGGATACACGCCTACAGCCATGGAGGTTAGGGATGTGACTGTGTGTGTGTGTGTGGGTGTGTGTGTGTGTGTGTCAGGGAGAGAATTGTGTGTGTGCATTGATTAGGTAATATACAGTGAGGGAAAAAAGTATTTGATCCCCTGCTGATTTTGTACGTTTGCCCACTGACAAAGAAATGATCAGTCTATAATTTTAATGGTAGGTTTATTTGAACAGTGAGAGACAGAATAACAAACAAAAAATCCAGAAAAATGCATGTCAAAAATGTTATAAATTGATTTGCATTTTAATGAGGGAAATAAGTATTTGACCCATCTGCAAAACATGACTTAGTACTTGGTGGCAAAACCCTTGTTGGCAATCACAGAGGTCAGACGTTTCTTGTAGTTGGCCACCAGGTTTGCACACATCTCAGGAGGAATTTTGTCCCTCTCTTCTCCAAGTCATTAAGGTTTCGAGGCTGACGTTTGGCAACTCGAACCTTCAGCTCCCTCTCTTCTATGGGATTAAGGTCTGGAGACTGGCTAGGCCACTCCAGGACCTTAATGTCCTTCTTCTTGAGCCACTCCTTTGTTGCCTTGGCCGTGTGTTTTGGGTCATTGTCATGTTGGAATACCCATCCACGACCCATTTCCAATGCCCTGACTGAGGGAAGGATACAGATTTGACGGTATATGGCCCCCACAATCATCCCTTTGATGCGGTGAAGTTGTCCTGTCCCCTTAGCAGAAAAACACCCCCAAAGCATAATATTTCCACCTCCGTGTTTGACGGTGGGGATGGTGTTCTTGGGGTCATAGGCAGCATTCCTCCTCCTCCAAACACGGCGAGTTGAGTTGATGCCAAAGAGCTCCATTTTGGTCTCATCTGACCACAACACTTTCACCCAGTTCTCCTCTGGATCATTCAGATGTTCATTGGCAAACTTCAGACGGCATGTATATGTGCTTTCTTGAGCAGGGGGACCTAGCGGGCGCTGCAGGATTTCAGTCCTTCATGGCGTAGTGTGTTACCAATAGTTTTCTTGGTGACTATGGTCCCAGCTGCCTTGAGATCATTGACAAGATCCTCCTGTGTAGTTCTGGGCTGATTCCTCACCGTTCTCATGATCATTGCAACTCCACGAGGTGAGATCTTGCATGGAGCCCCAGGCCGAGGGAGATTGACAGTTATTTTGTGTTTCTTCCATTTGCGAATAATCGCACCAACTGTTGTCACCTTCTCACCAAGCTGCTTGGCGATGGTCTTGTAGCCCATTCCAGCCTTTTGTAGGTCTACAATCTTGTCCCTGACATCCTTGGAGAGCTCTTTGGTCTTGGCCATGGTGGAGAGTTTGGAATCTGATTGATTGCTTCTGTGGACAGGTGTCTTTTATACAGGTAACGAGCTGAGATTAGGAGCACTCCCTTTAAGAGTGTGCTCCTAATCTCAGCTCGTTACCTGTATAAAAGACACCTGGGAGCCAGAAATCTTTCTGATTGAGAGGAGGTCAAATACTTATTTCCCTCATTAAAATGCAAATCAATTTATAACATTTTTTACATGCGTTTTTCTGGATGTTTTTTTTGTTATTCTGTCTCTCACTGTTCAAATATACCTGCCATTAAAATTATAGACTGATCATTTCTTTGTCAGTGGGCAAACGTACAAAATCAGCAGGGGATCAAATACTTTTTTCCCTCACTGTATGGTTTGTGTACAGCAAATGTGTGTTAGCTTCAGACCTGGGGTCAAATACTATTTCAGGTATTTCAATTACTTTTCAGAATAAATTTCAAAACATGTATTCAGATAACCTTTCTTTGAAAAAAAACAAGTTGTTGAATATTGGAATGTATTTGGAAACACTAAAATACACTAAGTAAAATACACTCCCATGCATTTCAATCAAACTTTATGTATGTAGCACATTGCTTACAGAGGATGCATTTCAAAGTGCTGAAACAAATAAAAGAATAAAGGCAAGAAAGATAAAAACACAAGTTTTCTATACAAATAAGAAATGAAGATAGACAAGAAAACAATAAAGAGGCAAATGTATTCTATTTATATAGAATGGGATCAAATAAATACATATCTTGTATGACTAAAGCACCCTAACTGTCACGGTCGTTGAAGAACGGGTCAGACCAAGGCGCAGCTTGAAATGCATACATGTTTATTATATAAACTAAACACACGAACAAAACAACAAAACAACGTAACGTGAAGTCCTCAGGCTAAACACAATACAAGCCTATACAGGGAACAAGATCCCACAACTAATGATTGCAAACAGGCTACTTAAGTATGATCCCCAATCAGAGACAACGAGCGACAGCTGCCTCTGATTGGGAATCACACCCGGCCAAACATAGAAACACAATACCTAGAATGTAAACATAGATCTCCACACTCTGACTCAACATACAAGTATTCCATAAGTCAGGTGGAGCGGACTGCTCTGGTTCCGGAGTGGATCCGCTGACCGGAGCTGGAGTAGGCACCGGTGGAGCGGACTGCTCTGGCTCCAGAGTGGAGCCGCTGACCGGAGCTGGACTAGGCACCGGTGGAGCGGACTGCTCTGGCTCCAGAGTGGAGCCGCTGACCGGAGCTGGACTAGGCACCGGTGGAGCGGACTGCTCTAGCTCCGGAGTGGAGCAGCTGACCGGAGCTGTACTGGACCCCGGTGGAGCAGAATGCTCTGGCTCCGGAGTGGAACCGCTGACCGGAGCTGGATTGGGCACCGGTGGAGCGGACTGCTCTAGCTCCGGAGTGGAGCAGCTGACCGGAGCTGGACTGGACCCCGGTGGAGCAGAATGCTCTGGCTCCGGAGTGGAACCGCTGACCAAAGCTGGATTGGGCACCGGTGGAGCGGGCTGCTCTGGCTCCGGAGTGGAGCAGCTGACCGGTGCTGGACCAGGCACCGGTGGAACGGGCACGGGCCATGCCGGACTGGGAACACGCACCACTGGCTTGGTGCGAGGATCAGGCACGGGCCGGGCCGGACTGGAAACACGCACCACAGGTCTGGTGCGAGGAGCAGGGACGGGCCGTACTGGACTGGGAACACACACCACTGGCTTGGTTCGGGGAGCAGGTATGGGGCGTACTGGGCTGGCGACACGCACCACTGGTTTTGTGCGAGGAGCAGGGATGGGCCGTACCTGACTGTGAACACGCACCACTGGCTTGGTGCGAGGAGCAGAAACGGGCCGGGCCGGACTGGGAACACACACCACTGGCTTGGTGCGGGGAGCAGGTACGGGGCGTACCGGACTGGGAACCTGGAGGTCTACGACTGTCTCCGTCCTTTACACTCCGCGCCCCGTCCTCCTCCAGTGAGGACTCCTCCTTGAGCCCCCACGAGTGCAGTGGTCGGGGCTTCTCTCTGTCGATCCCCGACCACCCTTTTAGCCCCCCCCCAAAAAAAATATTGGGGCAGTCTCTCCTTCTCCACCCTGATCCCTTTCAGGGCCTCCATCTGCTTGGCCAGATCCTCTCTTATCTCCCTCCAAGTCCATACTCTCTGCTCCTCCTGGGCACGCTGCTTGGTCCATTGGTGGTGGGATCTTCTGTCAAGGTCGTTGAAGAACGGGTCAGACCAAGGCGCAGCGTGAAATGCATACATGTTTATTATTATAAACTAAACACACGAACAAAACAACGTAACGTGAAGTGAAGTCCTCATGCTAAACACACAATACAAGCCTATACACGGATCAAGATCCCACAACTAATGATTGCAAACAGGCTACTTAAGTATGAACCCCAATCAGAGACAACGAGCGACAGCTGCCTCTGATTGGGAATCACACCCGGCCAAACATAGAAACACAATACCTAGAATGTAAACATAGAAATAATAACATAGATCTCCACACCCTGACTCAACATACAAGAGTTCCATAAGTCAGGGCGTGACACTAACTATACTGAACAAAAGTATACACACAACATGCAACAATTTTAAAGATTTTACTGAGTTACAGTTCATGTAAGGAAATCAGTCAATTGAAATAAATTAATTAGGCCCTAATCTATGGATTTCACATGACTGGGAATACAGATATGCATCTGTTTGTCACAGACACCTTAAAAAAATGGGCCTCACAATGGGCCTCAGGATCTCGTCACGGTATCTCTGTGCATTCAAATTGCCATCGATAAAATGCAATTGTGTTTGTTGCTTATGCCTGCCCATACCATAACCACACCACAACCATGGGGCACTCTGTTCACAGCGTTGACATCAGCACAAGGTGCACCTGTGTAATGATCATGCTGTTTAATCAGCTTCTTGATATGCCACACAAGTCAGATGGATAGATTATCTTGGCAAAGGAGAAATGCTCACTAACAGGGATGTAAACAAATGTGTGCACAAAATATGAGAGAAATAATATTTTTGTACATATGGAACATTTCTGTGATCTTTTATTTCAGCTCATGAAACATGGGGCCAACACATTACATATTGAGTTTATATTTTTGTTCAGTGTAAAAGCACCTTAAGATCTGTCTTAAGGTCTTTCTTAAAAATGCCTACAGTTTCTGAGGCCCTCAGATTCTCTGGCAGGCTGTTCCAAAGGCCAAGACGATAGTGACTGACCAAACGTTTTGGCCTTTGGAACCACTAAAAGACCAGAGGGACACACACACACAATATCTGAGAGACCGACCGGGCACATATCTTAAAAGCATGTCAGACATGTATTCGGGTGTAAGGCCACGTAGTGCTTAAAAAATCAATAAAGCAATTTTAAAATCAACTCTAAAACTAACAGGCAACCAATGCAGGGACTTTAAAATAGGTGTTATGTGTGCTCTCCCCCTAGTCTTGGTTAGCACATGTACTGCTGCATTTAGAATTAATTGAAGCTGGCCAGGTATTTGAAAATAGCATTTGAATTAAGTATTTGAATTTTTTTTATTTTTAATATCCATTAAAATACTCAAAGAAAAGTACTTGTTTTGGAATATGTATTTTAAAGTACTCAAATACACAGACAAAAAGTATTTAAATAACAAATACTCAAATACACATGTATTTGAAACCAGGTCTGGTTAGCTTTATGTGTGAATTGTGGCAGAGGGGGTCATGTTTACTAAGAGAGCTCTCCTCTTTGATTGGCTGTGCCGTCATAACACAGACAACCTTTAACATCCATGTCTTCCTGAGTCAAACTGGGTCAGGGGCCTGGTCTCTGGTTAAACTGCAGGGTCGGGTTACAGCCATGTGGAACCCCAATGTGGGGGTCGACCCATAAACCATAACCTCTACACCCTGACCCTTAGCTCTAACACATCAGTCAAACTATAGGACCAAGTGACACCCCATTCCTCATGTAGTGCAGTACTTTTGGCTCGGTTCCAGACCAGAAGTGATTGGAATGATTGACATGAGGAATTATGGGATACTTTAGAGGGTCTCTTGGAATGAGACAGTCAGGAGTCAGGAGGGTAAAGCAACCCCTCCCTCCCCATCTCTCTCTCTCTCTCTCTCTCAATTCAATTCAATTCAATTTCAATTCAAAGGGCTTTGAATTGACATGGGAAACGTATGTTTACATTGCCAAAGCAAGTGAAATAGATCAAACAAAAGTGAAATAAACAATCAAAAATGAGCAGTAAACATTACACTCACAAAAGTTTCAAAGGAATAGAGACATTTCAAATGTCATATTATGGCCATATACAGTGTTGTAACGATGTGCAAATAGTTAAAGTACAAAAGGGAAAATAAATAAAAATAAATATGGGTTGTATTTACAATGGTGTTTGTTCTTCACTAGTTGCCCTTTTCTTGTGGCAACCGGTCACAAATCTTGCTGCTGTGATGGCACACTGTGGTATTTCACCGAATAGATATGGAAGTTTATCAAAATTGGATTTGTTTTCGAATTCTTTGTGGCTCTGTGTAATCTGAGGGAAATATGTGTCTCTGATATAGTCATACATTTGGCAGGTCGTTAGGAAGTGCAGCTCAGTTTCCACCTCATTTTACATTTTAGTCATTTAGCAGACGCTCTTATCCAGAGCGACTTACAGTTAGTGAGTGCATACATTTTCATACTGGCCCCCCATGGGAATCGAACCCACAACCCTGGCGTTGCAAGCGCCATGCTCTACCAACTGAGCTACACAGGGCAGTGTGCACATAGCCTGTCTTCTCTTGAGAGCCATGTCTGCCTGTGGTGGCCTCTCTCAATAGCAAGGCTATGCTCACTGAGTCTGTACATAGTCAAAGCTTTCCTTAATTTTGGGTCAGTCACAGTGGTCAGCTATTCTGCCACTGTGTACTCTCTATTTAGGGCCAAATAGCATTCTAGTTTGCTCTGTTTTTTTGTTAATTCTTTCCAATGTGTCAAGTAATTCTCTTTTTATTTTCTCATGATTTGGTTCTCTCTCTCTCTTTCTCTCTCTCTCTCTCTCTCTCTCTCTCTCTCTCTCTTATGGAAGTTTAGAACTCTTACATTTATAATACTACAGAAAACCTTCCCCAGGTTACCGTTCACACAAATGCCTCTGGAATTGTTAGGATAACATTTGTTTCCGTTCTTAAAGATCTGGGTTATGAGTCCTTGGTTCCAGATGTCAGGGAAATAACCTACACTCAGTATCAAATTAAACCATTTTAATATAGCCAATTTAAAGGTTTCACTAGTGAATTTGAGCATCTCATTTAGGATACCATCAGATCCTCATGCTTTTTTGTTATAGAAGTTTGGTAATTCCAATAATTGGGAAGTCCAACGGATTTAGATTTTCCTTTATAGCTTTTTCCAATCCATTCAACTTCTCATGAATGTGGCATTGTTCTGCATTTGCATACATTTTGTTTTAAAATGGGTTGTCCATATATCACCATTTTGAATCGCTAATTCCTCTTGTTTCTAAATTATTATTATTTTTCCCCAATTTTGCCAGAAGTTGTTTGTGTTTATGAACTCCTCAATTAGTATCAGTTGCTTGCTGTTATACTGGGCTTTTTTGGTTCTGAGTGTATGTTTATAGAGTTTTAAAGTATCACAGTAATGAAGGTGTAATTCACCATTATTTGGGTCTTTGTGCTTTCGGTTTGATAGTGTTCTGAGTTTTTACCTGATATTTTTACAATCTGTATAAAAGCAGTTGTCATCTGTATTTTTATTTTTTTATTTTTTTTATAAATCAATTTCAGTTGTGCTTCCTTTGCTGTTTGCCTGAATATATTGTTGATGTTTTTTACTGCTAGATTGATGCCTTCTTTACTGTAAGTGTATGTGGTATCCAGAAAGTTATCTATATAAATATATCTAATATAGTTTTAGGTTTTCTGGTTGCTTTCTGGTATTCTTCAGTGCTGTTTTGGGCCCATCTGTATGAATTTCTGATGTTGTACAGCTTACTGGGCTGTGAATGCGTCTCTCTCTCTCCACACACACCGCATCGAATGTTGATTTGCTGTTCGTCTGCCGTTCGTCTGCCGTTTGTCTGCCGTTCGTTCGGCGTGGTGTGTTTTAGGGATCACCCACTACATTTAGAATCGGTTTGCACAAGGTTTGCAAATTGCGGCTGGCACTCTGTTCAGAGGTCATATGTAATCTCGGCCAGCAAACGCTGCCGGTGTGTCCGTGCCTTAAGGGAGTGACCAGTGGTCTGGGGATTGTTAGTTTGTGTTTACTGTTTTAGCTTCAGGGTGGGGTGCAGGATTAAACTCGGAGGGCCACGTTCTTCTGATGTTCACCTAAATAGACATGTTCTCACTTGACTTAAACCCTTTTTCTGAATGGGTAGCATAGGTCATCTACAAATGTCCCCCAGGGGACTCCGTATTGGGTGTTTTTCCATTTATTTCCAGATCGTTTTCATTTCCTTCCTTTAGGTTTCCACATATATAGACTTTATTGACATTTTATATCCGCTTGCCTCTGTTAAACTGAATGTAACAGGAAGACACTGAGTCATCCTCTGTCCATACATAGAGTACAGGATGTTATGAGAAAAGTGCAGCAGGAGCAAGCTGCTTATGACCAAGCTGTAGTTTAGCTCCAGAGTCAGGAAGAAGCAGCTGATGAGCTGGTTAACTCTTAGTCTCAGGGTATAAGACAGGTTTGAGCCACTGGCTCATTTTGCTGTGTGGCTGTGAGCAGAGTTTAAGGGGTTAAGTCTCTGCTGTTTGCCCTCATGAGTTAAACTCCTCATGTAGAATGTAGAGGGATCAGACTACTGCACAATGCAATATGCAGGCTCTCTCTCTTTTTCTCTCTCTTTCTCTCCCGCTTTCTCCCTCAATCACTAAGTATTTCACGCTCTGTCTCGTACTGTTTGTCTCAGTCTTTCCCTTTCTCTCCTCTTCCCCCTTAATCCCTCTTTCATTGTAATTTTTTTCTTATGTAGATTTTAATATATTAGCTATAAAATCATCTATGAAACAAAATACATAGTTATTAATCCCTCTTTCTCTTTATAATAGTCTTGTTCTCTTTTTCGGACTTCTCTCTGTTGTTCAGACACGCCCTAGTATACCCTGGAGTGTGTCAGTTGAATCTCCACCACTACCCTCCACTCCTCCTTCTCCTCCTCCTCCATCCCTCTCTCGCTCCTCCACTCCTCTACTTGCCTTTGGTAGGCACTGGCCTGCTCTCAACCAATCAGATCTCCCAAACCGGGACTTACCCACTAACATACATAATGCACACAAAACATTCTGAAACTCACTACTTATTTTCTGATATCCACAAAATAACAGAAATACGATATTTATTAAGATATCTCAAAATGAGTTTTGGTGCCAAGTTAATAATTCTGTCACACACAGAGCACAAATACGAACAGTATCTTAGAGGAGACGAGGAGGATAAAAAAAGAAAAAAAATTAAATACCGTACAGGCTTCCTCAACAACTGAAGTTCTGAAACCCCCATCATCTTGTGACTTCCTTCCTCTGCTGAAAACTGCTGCATAGCGCACACACAGGCGCATGCACACATTCACACACACATGCATGCACGCACACACACACATACACACACACAAATACACACACAGGCACACACACACAAACATACACACACACAGAATGACTGCATAGAGCCCACACACAGCGCATGGTAGGGTCTTTGTTTATCAAACAAGATCACCACAGATTTGTGGGGGCAGGATACAGTTGAAGTCGGAAGTTCAAATACACCTTATCCAAATACATTTAAACTCAGTTTTTCACAATTTCTGACATTTAATCCTAGTAAAAATTCCCTGTCTTAGGTCAGTTAGGATCACCACTTTATTTTACGAATGTGAAATGTCAGAATAATAGTAGAGAGAATTATTTATTTCAGCTTTTATTTCTTTCATCACATCCCCAGTGGGTCAGAAGTTTACATACACTCAATTAGTATTTGGTAGCATTGCCTTTAAATTGTTTAACTTGGGTCAAATGTTTCGGGTAGCCTTCCACAAGCTTCCCACAATAAGTTAGGTGAATTTTGGCCCATTCCTCCTGACAGAGATGGTGTAACTGAGTCAGATTTGTAGGCCTCCTTGCTCGCACACGTTTTTTCAGTTCTGCCCACACATTTTCTATAGGATTGAGGTCAGGGCTTTGTGATGGCCACTTCAGTACCTTGACTTTGTTGTCCTTAAGCCATTTTGCCACAACTTTGGAAGTATGCTTGGGGTCATTGTCCATTTGGAAGACCCATTTGCGACCAAGCTTTAACTTCCTGACTGATGTCTTGAGATGTTGCTTCAATATATCCACATAATTTTCCTTCCTCATGATGCCATCTATTTTGTGAAGTGCACCAGTCCCTCCTGCAGCAAAGCACCCCCACAGCATGATGCTGCCACCCGTGCTTCACGGTTGGGATGGTGTTCTTCAGCTTGCAAGCCACCCCCTTTTTCCTCCAAACATAACGATGGTCATTATGGCCAAACAGTTCTATTTTTGTTTCATCAGACCAGAGGACATTTCTCCAAAAAGTACGATCTTTGTCCCCATGTGCAGTTGCAAACCATAGTCTGGCTTTTTTATGGCAGTTTTGGAGCAGTGGCGTCTTCCTTGCTGAGCGGCCTTTCAGGTTATGTCGATATAGGACTTGTTTTACTGTGGATATAGACACTTTTTTACCAGTTTCCTCCAGCATCTTCACAAGTTCCTTTGCTGTTGTTCTGGGATTGATTTGCACTTTTCGCACCAAAGTACGTTCATCTCTAGGAGACAGAACGCATCTCCTTCCTGAGCGGTATGACGGCTGCATGGTCCCATGGTGTTTATACTTGCATACTATTGTTTGTACAGATGAACGTGGTACCTTCAGGCATTTGGACATTTTGATTTTCCCATGATGTCAAGCAAAGTTTGAAGGTAGGCCTTGAAATACATCCACAGGTACACCTTCAGTTGACTCAAATGATGTCAATTAGCCTATCAGAAGCTTCTAAAGCCATGACATCATTTTCTGGAATTTTCCAAGCTGTTTAAAGGCACAGTCAACTTAGTGTATGTAAACTTCTGACCCACTGGAATTGTGATACAGTGAATTATAAGTGAAATAATCTGTCTGTAAACAATTGTTGGAAAAATTACTTGTGTCATGCACAAAGTAGATGTCCTAACCGATTTGCCAAAACTATAGTTTGTTAACGAGAAATTTGTGGAGTGGTTGAAAAACGAGTTTTAATTACTCCAACCTAAGTGTATGTAAACTTCCGACTTCAACTGTATATAAATATTAGGATGAGCAATGTCGGAGTGGCATTGACAAATACAGTTGAATAGAATGCAGTATATACATATGAGATGAGTAAAGCAGTATGTAAGCATTATTAAAGTGACTAGTGTTCCATTATTAAAGTGTGTATATATGTATATAGGGCAGCAGCCTCTAAGGTGCAGGGTTGAGTAGCTGGGTGGTAGTTGGCTAGTCTGATGGCCTTGAGATAGAAGCTGTTTTTCAGTTTCTCGGTCCCAGCTTTGATGCACCTCTACTGATCTCGCCTTCTGGATGAAAGTGGGGTGAACAGGCCGTGGCTCGGGTGGTTGATGTCCTTGATGATCTTTTTGGCCTTCCTGTGACATCGGGTGCTGTAGGTGTCCTGGAGGGCAGGCAGTGTGCCCCTGGTGATGCGTTGGGCAGATCGTACCACCCTCTGGAGAGCCCTGTGGTTGCGGTTAGTGCAGTTGCCATACCAGGCGGTGATACAGCCCGACAGGATGCTCTCAATTGTGCATCTGTAGAGGTTTCTGAGGGTCTTAGGGGCGAAGCCAAATTTCTTCAGCCTCCTGAGGTTGAAGAGGCACTGTTGCGCCTTCTTCACCACACTGTCTGTGTGGGTGGACCATTTCAGATTGTCAGTGATGTGTGATGAACTTGAAGCTTTCCACCTTCTCCACTGTGGTCCCGTCGATGTTTCCTGATGTCCATGATCAGCTCCTTCATTTTGTTGACGTTGAGAGAGAGGTTGTTTTCCTGGCCCCACTCTGCCAGAGCCCTCACCTCCTCCCTGTAGGCTGTCTCGTCATTATTGGTAATCAGGCCTACTACTGTTGTGTCGTCTGCAAACTTGATGATTGAGTTGGAGGTGTGCGTGGCCACACAGTCATGGGCGAACAACGAGTACAGGAGGGGGCTGAGCACGCACCCTTGTGGGGCCCCTGTGTTGAGGATCAGCGAAGTGGAGGTGTTGTTTCCTAACTTCACCACCTGGGGGCGGCCCGTCAGGAAGTCCAGGACCCAGTTGCACAGGGCGGGGTTCAGACCAAGGGCCCCAAGCTTAATGATGAGCATGGAGGGTACTATGGTGTTGAAGGCTGAGCTATAGTCAATGAACAGCATTCTGACATAGGTATTCCTCTTGTCCAGATGGGATAGGGCATTGTGCAGTGCGGTGGCGATTGCATCGTCTGTGGATCTATTGGGGCGGTAAGAAAATTGTAGTGGATCTAGTGTGTCAGGTAAGGTAGAGGTGATATGATACTTAACTAGCCTCACAAAGCACTTCATGATGATAGAAGTGAGTGCTACGGGGCGATAGTCATTTAGTTCAGTTACCTTTGCTTTCTTGGGTACAGTAACAATGGTGGACATCTTGAAGCAAGTGTCCGTAAACACTCCAGCCAGCTGGTCTGCGCATGCTCTGAGGATGTGGCTAGGGATGCCGTCTGGGCCGGCAGCCTTGCGAGGGTTAACACGCTTAAATGTCTTACTCACGTCGGCCACGGAGAACGAGAGCCCACAGTCCTTGGGAGCGGGCCGCATCGGTGGCACTGTTATCCTCAAAGCGGGCGAAGAAGGTGTTTAGCTTGTCTAGGAGCAAGACGTCGGTGTCCGCGACGTGGCTGGTTTTCCCTTTGTAATCCGTGATTGTCTGTAGATCCTGCCACATATGTCTTGTGTCTGAGCCGTTGAATTGCGACTCCACTTTGTCTCTGTACTGATGTTTTGCCTGTTTGATTGTCTTACGGAGGGAATAACTACACTGTTTGTATTCGACTGCATTCCCAATCACCTTGCCATGGTTAAATGTGGTGGTTCGCGCTTTCAGTTTTGCGCGGATTCTGCCATCTATCCACGGTTTCTGGTTTGGGTAGGTTTTAATGGTCACCGTGGGAACAACATCCCCTATACACTTCCTGATGGACTCAGTCACTGTGTCTGTGTAAGCGTCAATGTTATTCGCAGAGGCTACCCGGAACATATCCCAGTCCGCGTGATCAAACAATCTTGAAGCATGGATTCCGATTGGTCAGACCAGCGTTGAATAGACCTTAGCATGGGTACTTCCTGTTTGAGTTTCTGCCTATAGGAAGGGAGGAGCAAAATGGAGTCGGGATCTGATTTGCGGATAGGGCCTAGCAGGCATCTCGAAAAGGCGAGTAGCAGTGATCTAGTGTTTTCCCTAAGCGAGTACTACAGTCAATGTGTTGATAGAACTTCAGTAGCGTTTTCCTCAAATTTTCTTTGTTAAAATCTCCAGCTTCAATAAATGCAACCTCTGGATATGTGGTTTCCAGTTTGCATAAAATGCAGTGTAGTTCCTTGAGGACTGTCATGGTATCGGCTTGAGGGGAAATATACACGGCTGTGACTATAACCGAAGAGAATTATCTTGGGAGGTAATACGGTCGGCATCTGATTGTGAGGCATTCTAGGTCGGGTGAACAAAAGGACTTGAGTTTCTGTATGTTATCACAATCACACCATGAGTAGTTAATCATGAAGCATACACCTCCGCCTTTCTTCTTCCCGGAGAGTTCTTTATTCCTGTCTGCGCGATGAACTGAGAACCCAGCTTGCTGTATGAACAGGGACAGTATTTCCAGAGAGAGCCATGATTCCGTAAAACAGAGTATGTTACAGTCCCTGATGTCTCTCTGGAAGGAGATCCTCGCTCTGAGCTCGTCTACTTTATTGTCCAGAGACTGAACATTAGCAATATACTCGGAAGTGGTGGATGGTGTGCCCACCTCCTGAGTCGGACTAGAAGTCCACTCCGAATACCTCTTCTCCACCGGCGGCGACTTGGAGCAGCCTCTGGGATAAGTTAAATTGCCCTGGGGGGTACGAACAAAGGATTCAATTCGGGAAAGTCATATTCCTGGTCGTAATGCTGGTGAGTTACTGCCTCTATGATATCCAAACGTTATTTCCGGCTGTATGTAATAACACAAAAAAACGTTCTGGGCTAGTAATGTAAGAAATAACACACAAAAACACTAAATACTGCAAAGTTGCTTAGGAGCTAGAAGCAGAGCTGCCGTCTGTTGGCGCCATCTTGTGGTGTATTTAAGAATGATGGAGGCCACTGTGTTCTTCGGGACCTTCAATGCTGCAGAAAGTTTGTGATACCCTTCCCCAGATCTCAAATCAAATCAAATAGTTTTTGCCACATGCGCCGAATACAACAGGGGTAGACCTTACAGTGAAATGCTTACTTACAAGCCCATAACCAACAATGCAGTTTATAAGAACATTAAAAAAAAAAAGTTAAATAAAAAATAGCAAATAATTCAAAAGCAGCAGTAAAATAAAATAACAGTAGGGAGGCTATATACAGGGGTACCGGTACAGAGTCAATGTGCGGGGGCACCGGTTAGTCGAGGTAATTGAGGTAATATGATATCTCCATCTCTTTCTCATGCAAATGACAGGGATTTGGGCCTTGTCGGGTGTCTGTAGAATATCCTTCGCGTCCGAATCGTTGAAGAAAAAATCTTAGCTCTTTTTGGTCATAAGAGACGGTGCCAGAAACATTATGTACAGAATACAACACAATCCTGTCTCGGTGCTCTACGGACAATTCCTTCGACCTCATGACTTGGTTTTTGCTCTGACATGCACTGTCCACTGTGGGACCTTATATAGACAGGTGTGTGCCTTTCCAAATAATGTCCAGTCAATTGAATTTACCACAGGTGGACACCAATCAAGTTGTAGAAACATCTCAAGGATGATCAATGGAAACAGGGTGCACCCTACCATTGTGTCGCTGAGTTGTCATAATGCTTCAGCAAATGTACATTATCCTAGGGGCGTTAGAAGACACAATGTAAGTAACCTAATTTATGTCCCTCTTACTGCCCTGATTGCCTCTGCTGATCCTATAGCTATTGTATGCAGTAATCATATGCCTATGAACCAGAGTAATACTGTTAGCACTGAGGTGGTGTGCCCTAGCAGGAAGTCCACTGTGTGCAGCTCACCCTGCACTAATAAAAATAACTTGAGCATGTCTACCTCTGCCAAGCTTCCCAGGAAAGTGTTAAAAATAGCCCACGTTAACATATGTAGCTTAAGAAACAAGGTTCATGAAATTAATAGTTTGCTAGTAACAGATGACATTCATATTCTGACAATCTCTGAAACACACTTAGATAATACCTTTGATGATACAGTGGTAGCAATACATGGTTATAAGATCTACAGAAAGACAGAAATGCCAAAGGTGGAGGTGTGGCAACTTATATTCAAAACCACATTCCTGTAAAACTTAGAGAGGATCTCATGTTAAATACTGTTGTAGTAATATGGCTACAGCTTCATCTGCCTCACCTTCATCTGCTATAGACCACAAAGTGCTAACAGTCAGTATCTGGATAATGTGTGAAATGCTTGATAATGTATGTGATATCAATAGAGAGGTATATTTTCTGGGTGATTTAAATATTGACTGGCTCTCATCAGGCTGCCCACTCAAGAGAAAGCTTCAAACTGTAACTAGTGCCTGCAACCTGGTTCAGGTTATCAATCAACCTACCTGGGTAGTTACAAACAGCACAGGAATGAAATCATCAACATGTATTGATCATATCATTACTAATGCTGCAGAAATTTGTTTGAAAGCAGTATCCAAATCGGATGTGGTGACTACGGTATAGTAGCCATATCTAGGAAAACCAAAGTTCCAAAGGCTGTGGACCTAATATAGTGTATAAGAGGTCATACAATACGTTTTGTAGGGATTCCTATGTTTTTGATGTAAAGAATATATGTTGGTCTGTGGTGTGTAATGACGAGCAACCAGACGCTACACTTGACACATTTATGAAATTGCTTATCCCAGTTACTAATAAGCATGCACCCATTAAGAAAATGATTGTAAAAACTGTTAAATCCCTGTGGATTGATGAGGAATTGAAAAATGGTATGGTTGAAAGGGATGAGGCAAAAGAGATGGCAAATAAGTCTGGCTGTACAACCGATTGGCAAACGTACTGCAAATTGAGAAATCATGTGACTAAACTGAATAAAAAGATTAAGAAACTACACTATGAAAATGACATAAAGAATTATAGTAAAAAGCTTTGGAGCACCTTAAATGAAACTTTGGGCAAAAAGGCTAACTCCGCTCCATCATTCATTGAATCAGATGGCTCATTCATCACATTCCCACTGATATTGGCAACTACTTTAATTTTTTTTTAATTGGCAAGATTAGCAAACTTAGGCACGACATGCTAGCAACAAACACTGACACTACACATCCAAGTATATCTGGCCAAATTATGAAAGACAAGCATTGTAATTTTGAATTCTGTAAAGTAAGTGTGGAAGAGGTGAAAAAAATTATTGTTGTCTATCAACAATGACAAGCCACCGGGGTCTGACAACTTGGAAGGAAAATTACTGAGGATAATAGCGGACAATATTGCCACTCCTATTTGCCATATCTTCAATTTAAGCCTCCTAGAAAGTGTGTGCCCTCAGGCCTGGAGGGAAGCAAAAGTTATTCCCCTACCTAAGAATAGTAAAGCGCCCTTTACTGGCTCAAATAGCCGACCAATCAGCCTGTTACCAACCCTTAGTAAACTTTTTGGGAAAATGTTGTTTGACCAGATACAATGCTATTTTACAGTAAACAAATTGACAACAGACTTTCAGCTCACTTATAGGGAAGGACATTCAACAAGCACTTACACAAATGACTGATGATTGGCTGAGAGAAATTGATGATAACATATTGTGGGGGCTGTTTTGTTAGACTTCAGTGCAGCTTTTTACATTATCAATCAGAGTATGCTGCTGGATAAAAGTACGTGTCATGGCTTTACACCCCCTGCTATATTGTGGATAAAGAGTTACCTGTCTAACAGAACACAGAGGGTGTTCTTTAATGGAAGCCTCTCTCAACAAAATCCAGGTAGAATCAGGAATTCCTCACGGCAGCTGTCTAGGCCCCTTACCTTTTTCAATCTTTACTAACGGCATGCCACTGGCTTTGAGTAACACTATACACGTCAGTTACTACAGCGACTGAAATGACTGCAACACTTAACAAAGAGCTGCAGTTAGTTTCAGAATGGGTTAGTCCTAAATATATATCTATGTATGCGGATGACTCTACACTATACACGTCAGCTACCACAGCGACTGAAATGACAGCAACATTTAACAAAGAGCTGCAGTTAGTTTCAGAATGGGTGTCAAGGAATAAGTTAGTCCTAAATATTTCAAAAACTAAAAGCATTGTATTTAGGACAAATCATTCACTAAACCCTAAACCTCAACTAAATATTGTAATGAATCATGTGGAAATTGAGCAAGTTGAGGAGACTAAACTACCAATTTGTAAGTCGCTCTGGATAAGAGCATCTGCTAAATGACTTAAATGTAAATGTACATGTAAACTGCTTGGAGTAACCCTGGATTGTAAACTGTCATGGTCAAAATATATTGATACAACAATAGCTAGGATGGGGAGAAGTCTGTCTAATAAAGCGCTGCTCTGCATTCTTAACAGCACTATCAACAAGGCAGATCCTACAGGCCCTAGTTTTGTCGCACCTAGACTACTGTTCAGTCGTGTGGTCAAGTGCCACAAAGAGGGACTTAGGAAAATTGCAATTGGCTCAGAACAGGGCAGCACGGCTGGCCCTTTCATGTACACAGAGAGCTAACATTAATAATATGCATGTCAATCTCTCCTGGCTCAAAGTGGAAGAGAGATTGACTTCATCACTACTTGTATTTGTGAGAGGTATTGACATGTTGAATGCATACCCCACAAGACATGCCACCAGAGGTCTCTTCACAGTCCCCAAGTCCAGAACAGACTATGGGAGGCGCACAGTACTACATAGAGCCATGACTACATGGAACTCTATTCCACATCAAGTAACTCATGCAAGCAGTAAAATGTGATTTAAAAAACAGATAGAAATACACCTTATGGAACAGTGGGGACTGTGAAGCAACACAAACATAGAAACATGCATACAAACACACGATAGCATACGCACTATACACACACGTACACATGGATTTTGTGTTATAGATATGTGGTAGTAGAGTAGGGGCCTGAGGGAACACACTGAATATGTTGTGAAATCTGTTTTGAATGTATTGTAATGTTTTTTAAATATATACAGTGGGGAGAACAAGTATTTTATACACTGCCGATTTTGCAGGTTTTCCTACTTACAAAGCATGTAGAGGTCTGTAATTTTTATCATAGGTACACTTCAACTGTGAGAGACGGAATCTAAAACAAAAATCCAGAAAATCACATTGTATGATTTTTAAGTAATTAATTTGCATTTTATTGCATGACATAAGTATTTGATACATCAGAAAAGCAGAACTTAATATTTGGTACAAAAACCTTTGTTTGCAATTACAGAGATCATACGTTTCCTGTAGGTCTTGACCAGGTTTGCACAGGGATTTTGGCGCACTCCTCCATACAGACCTTCTCCAGATCCTTCAGGTTTCGGGGCTGTCGCTGGGCAATACGGACTTTCAGCTCCCTCCAAAGATTTTCTATTGGGTTCAGGTCTGGAGACTGGCTAGGCCACTCCAGGACCTTGAGATGCTTCTTACGGAGCCACTCCTTAGTTGCCCTGGCTGTGTGTTTCGGGTCGTTGTCATGCTGGAAGACCCAGCCACGACCCATCTTCAATACTCTTACTGAGGGAAGGAGGTTGTTGGCCAAGATCTCGCGATACATGGCCCCATCCATCCTCCCCTCAATACGGTGCAGTCGTCCTGTCCCCTTTGCAGAAAACCATCCCCAAAGAATGATGTTTCCACCTCCATGCTTCACGGTTGGGATGGTGTTCTTGGGGTTGTACTCATCCTTCTTCTTCCTCCAAACACGGCGAGTGGCGTTTAGACCAAAAAGCTCTATTTTTGTCTCATCACACCACATGACCTTCTCCCATTCCTCCTCTGGATCATCCAGATGGTCATTGGCAAACTTCAGATGGGCCTGGACATGCACTGGCTTGAGCAGGGGGACCTTGCATGCGCTGCAGGATTTTAATCCATGACGGCGTAGTGTGTTACTAATGGTTTTCTTTGAGACTGTGGTCCCAGCTCTCTTCAGGTCATTGACCAGGTCCTGCCGTGTAGTTCTGGGCTGATCCCTCACCTTCCTCATGATCATTGATGCCCCAACGAGGTGAGATCTTGCATGGAGCCCCAGACCGAGGGTGATTGACCGTCATCTTGAACTTCTTCCATTTTCTAATAATTGCGCCAACAGTTGTTGCCTTCTCACCAAGCTGCTTGCCTATTGTCCTGTAGCCCATCCCAGCCTTGTGCAGGTCTACAATTTTATCCCTGATGTCCTTACACAGCTCTCTGGTCTTGGCCATTGTGGAGAGGTTGGAGTCTGTTTGATTGAGTGTGTGGACAGGTGTCTTTTATACAGGTAACGAGTTCAAACAGGTGCAGTTAATACAGGTAATGAGTGGAGAACAGGAGGGCTTCTTAAAGAAAAACTAACAGGTCTGTGAGAGCCGGAATTCTTACTGGTTGGTAGGTGATCAAATACTTATGTCATGCAATAAAATGCAAATTAATTACTTAAAAATCATACAATGTGATTTTCTGGATTTTTGTTTTAGATTCCGCCTCTCACAGTTGAAGTGTACCTATGATAAAAATTACAGACCTCTACATGCTTTGTAAGTAGGAAAACTTGCAAAATCGGCAGGGTATCAAATACTTGTTCTCCCCACTGTAACTGCCCAGGAATGGGGATCCATAATAAATACAAATACAAATGCCTGATCTAAATTTAAAGTCTCATAGCAAAGGGTCTGAATACTTATGTAAATAAGGTATTTCTGTTCTTTATTTTTAAAACATTTGCAAAAATTTATAAAAACCTGTTTTTGCTTTGTCATTATGGGGTATTGTGTGTAGATTGATGAGGGGAAAATATAATATCATCCGTTTTCGAATAAGGCTGTAACGTAACAAAATGTGTAAAAAGTGAAGGGGTCTGAATACTTTCCCGAATGCACTGTACTCTGTAGACAGGCCCATGACAAAAGTTTAAAACTGTATGAAAATCCCTTGGGGTCTGAGAGAGATAGAGAAAGAGAGAGATATGGACAACGATAGGTAAAGAGAGAGAGAGAGCTGTTTGCTCAGCAAGCGTTTCTCAGGAGCAGTAGAGCAGAGGTGCCAGTCTGGGTGTGAACATGGAAGACACCCATGACCGTGTCCCAAAATCATTTGGGACACCTCTCTCCTAATAGAACTATGACACAGACATGTCATGGAGGTCACAATGTCAGTTAAATGAAATGCCTCTGCAAGGTTCTACACATGCCATTCGGTTGTGAGTAGTAAACGTTAAAGACTTAAGAGCTCCAGCAGTTACACACACTCACTCACACACTCACTCACTCACTCACTTACTCACTCACTCACTCACTCACTCACTCACTCACTCACATTCACTCACACACTCACACACACACTCACACAGCTCTAGCAGTGCACACAAACACACACAGATAAACACTAACACGCACATGGTCCATTCATACATACAGTGCCTTGCAAAAGTATTGTTTTTCCTATTTTGTTGCATTACAACCTGTAATTTAAATGGATTTTATTTGGATTTCATGTAATGGACATACACAAAATAGTCTAAATTGTTTAAGTGAAATTATAAAAAATAACTTGTTTAAAGAAAATCTAAAAAATAAATAACTGAAAAGTGGTGTGTGCATATGTATTCACCCCCTTTGCTATGAAGCCCCTAAATAAGATCTGGTGCTACCAACTACCTTCAGAAGTCACATAATTAGTTAAATAAAGTCCACCTGTGTGCAATCTAAGTGTCACATGATCTCAGTATATATACACCTGTTCTGAAAGGCCCCAGAGTCTGCAACACCACTAAGCAAGGGGCACCACCAAGCAAACGGCACCATGAAGACCAAGGAGCTCTCCAGACAGGTCAGGGACAAAGTTGTGGAGAAGTACAGATTAGGGTTGGGTTATAAAAAAATATCTGAAACTTTTAACATCCCACGGAGCACCATTAAACCCATTATTATGAATATGGCACCACAACAAACCTGCCAAGAGAGGGCTGCCCACCAAAACTCACGGACCAGGCAAGGAGGGCATTAACCAGAGAGGCAACAAAGAGACCAAAGATAACACTGAAGGAGCTGCAAAGCACCACAGCGGAGATTGGAGTATCTGTCCATAGGACCACTTTAAGCTGTACACTCCACAGAGCTAGGTTTTACGGAAGAGTGGCCACAAAGAAGCCATTGCTTAAAGAAAAAAATAAGCAAACACGTTTGGTGTTCGCCAAAATGCACGTGAGAGACTCCCCAAACATATGGAAGAAGGTAATCTGGTCAGATGAGACTAAAATTGAGCTTTTTGGCTATCAAGGAAAACGCTATGTCTGGCGCAAACCCAACACCTCTCATCACCCTGAGAACACCATCCCCACAGTGAAGCATGGTGGTGGCAGCATCATGCTGTGGGGATGTTTTTCATCGGCAGGGACTGGGAAACTGGTCATAATTGAAGGAATGATGGATGGCGCCAAATACAGTGAAATTCTTGAGGGAAACCTGTTTCAGTCTTCCAGAGATTTGAGACAGGGATGGATGTTCACCTTCCAGCAGGACAATGACCCTAAGCATACTGCTAAAGCAACACTTGAGTGGTTTAAGGGGAAACATTTAAATGTCTTGGAATGGCCTAGTCAAAGCCCAGACCTCAATCCAATTGAGAATCTGTGGTATGACTTAAAGATTGCTGTACACCAGCGGAACCCATCCAACTTGAAGGAGGGGGGGGGGGGGGTTAATACTTGCCAAAGGGGGTGAGTACTTTCGCAAGCCACTGTACCATGTGAAAGCATTATTTACACAATTATTCTGTAATGAATAACCAATGTAACTCATTGAGAATAATGTTTTAGTGTTTTGGCTGGCATCCAGATCCCTGACACACACCATTCTATTTCCTCCACTACTTGTCCAGGCTGACTGTGGTGAAATGTAACTGGTTTATCCTGTGGTTAGGTAACTCTACCACTCAACCCAGCCACAGCACACAGCAAGCTGATAACACAGTTTACTCTGGCTTATCCTGCCTGGGCAAAATGGGTCAGGTTACTGCACTGTACAAGTAGTGTCAACATACACACACACAGGCCTTGCATACTTTATGTGCAGGCTGACACACAGACAGACAGTCTGCACACAGTTATACAGTCATGAGGGCAATAAAAACCTCACCATATCATCAAAGGCACCAGGCTGTACGTTTCATATACCACCCTGTAGAATAAAAGTGTTGAATTGAGCATACAGTGCATTCAGAAAGTATTCAGACCTCTTTACTTTTTCCACATTTTGTTACATTACAGCCTTATTCTAAAATGGATTAAGTACATTTCTTTCCTCATCAATCTACACACAATACCCCATAATGACAAAGCAAAAACAGGTTTTTAGAAATGTTTGCAAATGTGTAAAAACAACAAAAACAGAAATACCTTATTTACATATGTATTCAAACCCTTTGCTATGAGACTAGAAATTGAGCTCGGGTGCATCCTGTTTCCATTGATCATCCTTGAGATGTTTCTACAACTTGATTGGAGTCCACCTGTGGTAAAATTCAATTGATTGGACATAATTTGGAAAGGCACACACCTGTCTATATAAGGTCTCACAGTTGACAGTGCATGTCAGAGCAAAAACCAAGCCATGACGTCAAAGGAATTGTCCGTAGAGCTCCGAGACAGGATTGTATCAAGGCACAGATCTGGGGAAGGGTACCAAAACATTTATGTAGCATTGAAGGTCCCCAAGAACACAGTGGCCTCCATCATTCTTAAATGGAAGAAGTTTGGAACCACCAAGACTCTTCCTAGAGCTGGCCACTCGGCCAAACTGAGCAATCGGGGGAGAAGGGCCTTGGTCTGGGAGGTGACCAAGAACCCCATGGTCACTCTGACAGAGCTCCAGAGTTCCTCTGTGGAGATGGGAGAACCTTTCAGAAGGACAACCATCTCAGCAGCACTCCACCAATCAGGCCTTTATGGTAGAGTGGCAAACGGAAGCCACTGGAGTTTGCCAAAAGGCACCTAAAGGACTCTCAGACCATGAAAAATGTGATTCTCTGGTCTGATGAAACCAAGACTGAACTCTTTGGCCTGAATGCCAAGCGTCACGTCTGGAGGAAACCTGGCACCATCCCTACAGTGAAGCATGGTGGTGGCAGCATCATGCTGTGGGGATGTTTTGCAGAGGCAGGGACTGGGAGACTAGTCAGGAACGAGGGAAAGATGAACGGAGCAAAGTACAGAGAGATCCTTGATGAAAACCTTCTACGGAGAGCTCAGGACCTCAGACTGGGGTGAAAGTTCACCTTCCAACAGGACAAGGACCCTAAGCACACAGCCAAGACAACGCAGGAGTGGCTTTGGGACAAGTCTCTGAATGTCTTTGAGTGGCCCAGCCAGAGCCCGGACTTGAACCCGATCGAACATCTCTGGATACACCTGAAAATAGCTGTGCAGCGACGCTCTCCATCCAACCTGACAGAGCTTGAGAGAAGCTGCAGAGAAGAATGGGAGAAACTCCCCAAAAACAGGTGTACCAAGCTTGTAGCGTCATACCCAAGGAGACTCGAGGCTGCCAAAGGTGCTTCAACAAAGTACTGAGTAAAGGATCTGAATACTTATGTAAATGTATATTAACGTTTTATGTATTTTTTTAATAAAAAAAAATTGCTTTGTCATTATGGGGTATTGTGTGTAGATTGAGGAAAATAACAATTTAATCAATTTTAGAATAAGGCTGTAACGTAACAAAATGTAGAGCGGTCTGAATACTTTCCGAATGCACTGTATGTATAATAAAAAATACAATTTAGGGCAAAAAATTACTAAACTTCTTTAGTAAATCATTGTGGTCAATCATATTGTCCTTTATTTCCATGTGCTGTAAGTGAGACTGTATAAACTGTGTTATAGCATTCTCCCCGTTGAACAAGTCTTGTGTAAGATGTTTGTAACCATAATTTCAACAGTTGTACTCATTGTGATAGCTAAGTGTTTCTCCCTCTCTCTGTCTCATCTTCAGATCGCAGACACGTACTCCACCGTGTGTAAACCACAGAAGAAGAAACCTTCCCCGTACAACAGTGGAGCCAATACCCTCCCCCGCAACCACTGCTCTGGGGAGAAGAATGGAGGAGGTAGGGGAGGAGGAGCAGGAGGGAATGAGGGAGGGAACAGGGCGTGGGGTGGTCCCGGTGAAGGGGCGAGAGGTGGCGGTCGGGGGATCCAGGGTGGCCAGGCCAGATCCCACGAGGAGCCCTGCTACGAGCCCGTCGGTGACAGGTCCTGGCCCGGCTGCGTGGTGGCCGAGTCAGACCCGGCGTATGCCACTATCGACTCCCACCGGAAACGTGAGTGGGCAGGAACCAATAACGGTGCGCTGGGGGCGAACGCAACACTGAAGCCCAGGAAGAAGCCTCCTCAGCAGGGAGCGTCGTCTCCAGAGGCCCCGTGCCCCCAGGGACCTCCAGCATGCCCCCCGGCCCCTCCGTCCAGGGCCTTGCCTGGGGGGGAGAACTTCTATGAGACCATCAGCGATGTGAAACAGGGGGCCAACAGCGCCAGCACCACCACCATCTTCACCTTCAACGACGGGATGGAGATGTACGTCACTGGCCTGTAGCTGAGAGATACTGGCTCACACACAGACACACACTGGGCTGGGTTCGGACCTGTTTGGGTTCTTCTGACCCTGTCTACACCTGATATACCCTATGAAAGTGACTGGAAGCAATGTACATAAAGCCCCACAGTGGCGGTGTCGTAATACACATAAAACCTAGCAGTCAAACAGGGAAATGGTTCCAATCGTTTTTCCACCATTAATTTTTCCCATAGGGGATTTTAGAAACACTTAAAATAAAGTCTGTGTTTCGTGTAGGCTTACCCTGGTGTGACGTGTAAATGTAAATCTCAATATATTTGTCTCTATTTACTCTCAGATTCAAAAATGCTAATTAGCGTCAAAGTAGACATCATGCAAAACTACAAATCCATGCAAGCTCCTGCACATCATCTCTAGCTGACACCTTTGCTAACAGGTATTGTGTCAATTTAAAACTTGCACGAGACAGTTCACAGAATTGTCCATTTAAAGCAATTTAGCCAATTTATTAATTACTACATTTAGCTAACATTAGATAGTACATTTTGTAGTTCTTAATGATAGCCAGATTAGCAGCTAATTAGCATTTCATTTTTGGGGGTAAATACAAATGAATATATTGGTAAAAGTCACCTTGTCCTAAAGAGATTTACACGCTTATCAAAACGTCACGGCAGGGTAAGCCTACATGAAACACAGCCCTTGTTTTAAGGGTTTCTAAAATCCACTATGGGAAAAATGAATGGTGGAAAAACGATTGGAACCATTTCCCTGTTTGACCGCTAGGTTTTATGGGTATTATGACTCATACTGTGGTACTCTATAGCAAGGTTTCCCAAACTCGTTCCTGGGGCCCCCCTGGGTGCACATTTTGGTTTTTGCCCTAGCGTACACAACTGATTCAAATAACCAACTCATCATCAAGGGGGGGGGGGGCAGGACTGACTTTGGGAAACCCTGCTCTATAGCAACAAGACCTAGTGGTGAAATCAAGCAGCAAATGTCACTATCATGGTATAATACAATGTCTCCTGTGATTGGATTATGGCCATATCCAGTGACAGAAGACCACATTTGGTGGTGGATGCATTCTATATCCAGGTTTAAACAGTGTCTCAGACCTAACCAGTGGTGGAAATGGACTTGGTTCACTGACTTGGGAAACCCAGATAGGGGGTTCTAGGCCAGTTAAATCGTCGATAGGAACCAAGTTTCAGGGGTTACATTTGACTTTTAAGTCATTTAGCAGATGCACTTGTACAGAGCAGAGCAACTTACAGCAGTGAGTGCATATATTTTCATACTGGTCCCCCGTGGGAATCAAACTCACAACCTAGGCATTGCAAACGCCATGCTCTACCAACTGAGCCACACAGGACAACACAAGGGGTTCCCCCTCATTTCCACCACTGGACCCAACAGAACCAGAAGTACCCTACATCTCTGAGCTTTACCACAGAGCCAGTCTGGCTGACCCAGTCTGGATTGCACCCTCTCAGCCAGACTCAAACAGGCCCAACCAGACCAGACTGAGCATCATGTTATGAACTGAATGACAGTGCCACTATTCACCTTACCTTACCATTTGTGTGACATTTTACATATATATTTATTTTTGTATAAATATAGTACCCTTAATAAAGCATGGCTTGTGTACAGAGCAACACACAACCCCCCAAAATAACATGATAACACACAATCACAGATACACGTGCACACACACACACTGTACTCAAACATTGTTGTGCATGAAAACTCACACATTCTCACAAAGATGACAGAGGGAAGAAGTGTGTAGACTCCAGGATGGCTTCACACTCCAAGTTCCAACCCCCTAATGACATTACCGATGGCGTCACTGGTGGCATAACTGAAAAGGGTACTGCTTGACTATATTACTGATATTAATCAGTTTAAATCAAAGCCTCAGAGACTCATGGAAGGACTAAACACAAGCACACACACATACACAAACCTTCTTGTGCTGGGACTTATGTAATAGAAGCAGATGGGAGTCTGGGAGATTGGCTGTGCTTAGCTCTCCCTAAGCAAACATATCAAACAGGTTCTCTCTCTGTTGCCGGGCCGGGCAGATATGTTTTGACTTTGAGCGACAAATCTGACATGTAGCCTAGGTCTATACGTGTACGTTAACATACTCTGACCTGGAGGAGGCGCTCTTGGCTCCAACCCAACACTCTCCTGTACACTCTTTACTCCTTGGGGTTCAAGGTAGAAGTTGCCCCTAACCACAGATCTACAGACATACATACCATGAAGATCTCTTGTAACTGTAAGGGTCTTTGGATGAAAGCATTATGGTACGTTATGGTAGCAATCATTCACTATAAATCTGAAATACATAAATCAGAGTTATATGCAGGGAGATCTTGACCAACTTAATGACTCTGATATTCATCTTGTAGAGTTTTATTGAGCTCAGCCGGTTGATGGGTAAAATGGCCGCCGTTGTTCTTGTTGTCAGGGGTGACACAATTCAAGCGAAGTGGTGGTCCGCCTCAGGTTGCCTCACACTGTCAATTACATCCATAACCACTGAGCTTTGACCACAGTGACTGACCACAGAGCAGCAACTGACATACTTATAGGGATAGCTCAACCCGACACCTAAGTCTTCCCTTTTCACATCGTAAAAGTGGTCTAATGTCGAGTTGAATCCATATAACACAGTAAAAGAGAAATTGGCAGGACTTAGTCTCAAATGAATGGGGATGATTGGCACCATCTAAGTAGATTTTTGGGGTGAGCTGTCCCAAAGAGTGCTGATTTGGCTATACTTTAGTCAGATTTAATTTATTGTAGATTGTTATTCAAGTTCTTTGTTTTCAAAACTCCTGGAGCTTAAAATAATGTTATTTGCATGGCAAAACACACACACACACACTCTCTTGGCAGAGATACACAGGGCAAAGCCAACAGGTCAGGGACACAGCGTGGGCTGGGTAGATTCTTCTCTGAAGGAGAAAGGCAACCGATTTCACAATCTCTACCCAGGACCTTTAATCAGCCTATCCCTGAGAGACAGATAGAAAGAAGGAAAGAAAGAAAGAAAGTAAAACATCTGTATTAACTAGGGATGCTTCAGCATTGCCAGTTAATTTGTAATTTCTATTGGGCGTTGGTAACATTTAATTTTATGGCCAAGGTAATGGAGTCTTGGAGAGTTGCAGGGCTATTGGCGGTTTCGTGCAGTTAGTGCAATGAAGGGCGTTTGTGTAGCAGGGCCCTGATTCGCTTCACTGGCTGATGTCAATGCCAGGACTCTACTGTTGCACTCTGGGTCTGTCTGGCTGTCGGTTGGAACAGCCATGGAGGGGTTGGAATCCAAATAAAATAAAGTGTTGGGCATAAAATTACCAGTGAGTGTCTTTTGGATGCCCCCCCCCCCCCCCCCCCCCCCCCCCCTTCTCTAGCCTGTGCTGAAAGTTTTATTCTATTGTGAACAAGCTCTGTCCCATGTAGCTCTTGGGGGAAATGTGATGTAGGAACTTAGAAAGAAAAATAGTGACATTAGGGGTTTAATAAAGGGGCGTTTTCAAGTCAAAAGGTAAAGAGAGAGCGGTATATGAGGGATGAATAACAGCAGTATGTATTAGGCCCTCTAACGTTAGGAGAGTGTGTGGAAAATTTAGTTCTATAAGGGGAAAACGTTATGCTATCGTGTATAGGTTTACTATGAAATACATCTTATGAAATGCACTCTGTATTTTCTTAATGCACTGTTTATGTTGCGTTTTATTTTTACCTATTGTGTTTAAATAGCTTATGCCACTGCCATGAAGATGTTACTTGTACTTTGTTTAATGCTGTTGGTGCAATTTTCCTGCTTGAAACATAATGCATGTTTTTTACCAAATGAAAATGAAAAAAGAAAATATTGTGGTACCTTATTTATTTCCTGATGTTTGTTTTTTTGTTTTCCTGTTTTGTCATGGGAGAAAAAGTAACATTCCAGAGAGAGAGAGAGAGAGAGAGAGAGAGAGAGAGGAGAGAGAGAGAGAGAGAGAGAGAGAGAGAGAGAGAGAAGAGAGAGAGAGAGAGATGAGAGAGAGCGAGAGAGAGAGGAGAGAGAGAGAGAGAGTCAGCGAGTACGATGATCTCTCTCTCTCTCTCTCGGCTCCTATCCGCCTCGCTCTCTATGCTATAGCTTACTCTCGCGACTACTCTCTCGCTCTGCTACTCTCTGCTCTCCTCTCTCGACTCGATACGCTCAGATCTCTCTAGGACTCCTCTCTCCATACACCAAATTATGAGGAGCCGGGAGGTTGCTAGTAGGAGGGAGGAAGCACACTCGGCTTCTACTCCCTGTATTATCCTCCCTCTCTTATCTCCTCTCTCTTTTCCCTCTCTTCTCTCCTCTCCTCTCTGTGCTGGTGGAGATGGGCCTTTGATGTTGCTTCTTCTGAGGGACCCAGGGAGAGATATGGGGGTGGAGGGGAATAGGGGCTGCCTGGGGGTCATGCTGACCCTGCATGCTTTCAACGTCAATAGTGCAGTTTTATTGGTGTGTGTGATATGACCAATGACTAACAGCTGAAATGATTTAAGCAGCTTTGGGAACAGATATTTTGTCATCTAGCACTGCCACTGCTAGTCTCCTGAGGAAATTCACTAAGTTTTCATTAAACCCGTTCAGCACAGACTAAATCAACAAAGACATGGCCGGACCAGGACCAAATAAAAGCTAAACAGTACTTTAAAATATATTTAGTAAATGCATATATTGGCAAATAATGTATTGTGCATCAATTTATTTAATTTTGCCTCTCAGTTTAGCACAAACATAACTGACAAAGACACGCTCACATAAATAGCCTACATTTTGAGGCAAATGGTATAATGTGAAATATTGTTTTGATGTTATACAGAACTATTTAAGTTGTTATTGGTTTTATGCTGAAAGACTTGATGTTAGTATAAATATTGATGGTCATCACAAATGTTGTGGTTTTTACGTTGGAGCAAAGATAAGTTAGCCTACTTTTCAAGAATCGCAG